CACACACACACACACACACACACACACACACACACACACACACACACACACACACACTCGCTGGCACCTGCCTAAAGAGCAAAGGAATAGGGGCGGGTGGCTGGAAGTAGGGCAAAGGTGACAGAGAAAATGAGAAGAGATAAAGAAAGCCATAAAACGCTGAATGTTATGGGCAAAGTGGTTCATTTTATTTCCTGCATGTGGAGTCATCGGGGTAGTAATAATAACGATGGCATCACTGTCTGCATAATGTGAGGCTAATTTGCATTTCTCTCCTCTTCCATCTTACATTGACAGGCAAAAGCGAGTCAAAAAGTAACAGAATTAGCAATATTGCCTTTTTACTGCTGTGTTTTCACATTTCCAGTAAAAGTGCTTGCTGGACTGTTTCCTTGTATATGTTTGCATCGTTTAAAATAGCTGCCAGGGATGCTCAGCATAGATAGAGAATGTTAGTCACCCAACAGTTAGATATCACATTACCATAATCTGCTACTGGTTTATAATGCAGATGTCTCTGATTCACTAGCTTCATGTCAAAGTCTCTGCAGGCTCCCGCCTGTATGCTCTGTTTCTCACTTTGATGTGCGGTAAGACTTACAACTAATCTTTGGCTATTTTTGGTTAAAAATGTAAAAAGAAAAAAGAGGGCAAAAAATCAAATAAAAAATAAATGAATTAAAAACATTGCACTTAGCAGCAAAGCTAGACTGTGGAATTTCCAATAATATATGTTTTGCTTCAGCAGCACCTAACTTACATTTGATTTTGTGTCACATTCAGCCAGCTTGACAATAAACCTTTCTTTAGGACTAATTAGTGTTCATGGAAAACACGATATGCGTTGACAGTGTGATGTAGATAGCAGTATTTTCCCCAGCTCTCTGAGGGTCAGTTAAAAACCTAAAGAGAGTGAGTGTGAGGCGGCAATGATCAATGAAGTGAGCGCTCTGTGGTAGCCTGCCTAGCTGATCAATAGAGCGTAGATGGGGGTGTGGGTTTGGGGTGGTGGTGGTTGAGAGGGGGGGGGACTGGTCGTGTGCTGCTTGTAAATCAAATAGCATCACATAGACAGTATCAGTGAGGATATGAGTTATGGGAAGAAACTAAACAGGTACTATACCTACATGGGTCGTGGAGTAACAGTCTGACATGTACATAATAAGGACTTACCAAACAAGCAAGTTTTAATTAACTGTAGCAACCACTCCTCAGAAAAAAAACATCAAAAATTGGTGATTTATTATTTCTTTTATTGACTATTATTAGTTTATCCATAATCACTGGCTCTTCCACACCATTTCTTTGCCCTGTCTTTCTCCTATCACCCCGAACTGGTCATGGCAGGTGACTGCACCTCCCTGAGCATGGTTTGCTGGATGTTTCTTCCTGTTAAAAGGGAGTTTTTCCTTTCCACTTTTACCATTTGCTGGCTTAGAGGGGGTCATCTGATTGTTAGGGTTTCTCTGTATTGTTGCCTTACGATATAGTCGCACAACTGTTTATAGCTGTTGCTGTGACTTGGCACTATATCAATAAAATTGAACTAAAGTGGACTAAAACAAAAAGGAGGGCTGTTTTTCACTTCGTCTGGATAATTTCTTTTCATATGCCATAAGAAGTGAAAGCTTGTGAAATTTGTCACTATAGGAGCTTTAATGGAAGTGAGGCTGAGAGGTCTGGCATGGGAGGAAATATAGGGTGTCTGTCAGCCATAAAGAAAGCACGTCAAGGAAAACAAAAAGGAGAACTCTGAGTGTAGTAACCACTTCTAGTCACTGATTGAAATTTAGTGTGTGTTTTCACCGTTGTGCGGGTAAACATTTTTTGCCTCAGTGCAAAATGCAAAATATGGAAATGTAGATCAATATCTCCCAAACATTTTGGCTTGTGACCCCTAAACTAAAAAAGCAAATTAAAAGAATTAAAGTCTAACATGTGATCCAGAACACTGGGGCTACAATCCCATGTCAAACCGCTTATATCAATAGGAGTTACGTTCCAGTAACCAAACTGGTGGACAAAATCCTTTACCTTGAGATAACTTTTGCCATCATGTTGTGTTTTCTCATGTGTATGCGCTGCCACATTTACATGGCTCAAGTTTTCCCCATCA